AAATGTCTTTCTTGATAAATAGTAGATGCCTGAAGATAAAAGCTTTTGCTTGTATCAAAGTTTGCACTTGTTTTTGGTTCGCAATATATGTGTTAGTAGTACCCTAAAGACAGGTGGCATTTGTTAAGGATTGGGCAGAACCAAAGCCAGAAGAAGAAGCTTGGAACGTGACCGCTCTCAATCAAAGAAGCAGCAATGGTTTGCTTAGTTTGTCCTTATAAAGAGAGTTCAGTCTCGTGATTAAACTATTTTGCTTTTTCAGCCGGGTATGGAGCTGCTAAAAATGAATTGCCTATCACTTTGGCACCTTTACCCACGGTGGATCAACTTGGCAAAGGTAAACCATTTGATGACTTGATTAAAATCTACATTAATTTGCAATATAACTCGTCATTCAGAGCACTTACCGACGGTGGCTGGGATGCCGCAGCCACTGGGTCCTCCAGCATCTTCGACAAATCCCTTCGTAGCTGCTTGGGAGGAGCCGGCGGCACAATCAAAGCCCTATCAGAACTGGTGATTCAGAGGCGATGGCGCAGTCTGCTGATGCCGAAGATACTTTCGCAGTGATGTTCCTCGCTTTTTTCCATCATAACTTTACTTTTGGCATGCGTTTGCGTTCAGCTCAACACCACCATGTTATGAAGAGATCTCCATTTGAATTGTCATACTTATACTCGTTATATTCGTAGTAAGTTATAATAGATATGTGAAAATTAATAAATTTTTATTGATTAGTGAGTGCTAAAGAAAGGACTTCATCTTGATTTATCGAGCAACTGCGAGCACTGTCAAGCACTACATTGCTAACGCAGTTACTGAAACTATCATTCTCTAACTAGGTCCTCAAAACGACAACTTTTTAAAAAGCTCATAAATTTGTCAGTCTTTCTTAATGGAATCTATGAAGTGGATTCAAAAGATTTTTAGTAATACGGGTGCACCTAAGTGGCTGCTGGATTGATAAATTAGAAAGTTCTCACTCCTTAATAAAATTGGCGAAACGACGATTTTAGAAGTTAATTGACAGCTGGAAGCTCATTTATCAAATATCAAGTCATAGTTGAACGAGCAACAGAGTATATGCCATCTCATCGTTGAAGGAATTAAGGAAAGCGATACAACCAAGCTCGGAGGTGTAATCGCGAATTCGACGAATACAAATAATTCAAAATGCAAAACAACAAGGCTGCGTTGTTACGTAATTTATTATTTCTTACTCAATTGCATTTGTATATATTTAAAACAATATATTTTGTGTAGCTTGGAGGCCAGTGACCCTAAAAAGCGCGCTTCCTCTGCAAGTTAATCAAATTCTTGCTTTTGAAATCAAAGAAAAGTTAATCTTTACTCGATAAAAGCATTCTCGAAACCTCATTTTTACATAAATCATGCGCCCTAAATTTATTTGTCTGAAGTGGTAACAGTGAAAAACCGTTTTTTCGTCACTGCATAGGACCGCCTATCTTTTTTTTTCTCAAAAATTTGTGTACAATTGTACCAGATAGCAAGATTGCAACTCAAGGAAGACGTTCTGCCAATTCTTCATAGAAACTTTTTTGAAGGCTTACACCTTGCTTTTGATTGAAAATCGGCCAAAAGCAATATCCTTTGAGTAAGGTCGAAAAATATAAAGGTCGTTACATTCTCTTCAAATGATTTCGTCAAACTTGGATCTAACGGTGTGCAGTGTTCCAAGGCCAATATCCAAATTTAGTGAATCATTCTCTGACAACACTACAGGACAAGTATGCTCTACATGGACGGAAGAAATGTGGGCCATTCACAAATTTCTTGGCCGCGTTTAAAAGCGAACATCATCAATATTATAAAATTGTCCATAACTTTGAATAAACAAAAAACAAAGCCACGAGCAAAAGGTTGATAATTTGGTGTTAGCATTAACAAAAAGTGTAAGATTGCCACAATGTTTTATAGTATCAACACCTCGAGGTTGCCAGGCAGCTGCAATTAATAAAGGGCTATTGCAATATAAGGTCACACTGCATTAAAAGGAGACCACTCATTACTAAACTATATTTACTACTCTTTTGTTCTATTATATGTTTTTCGATTTTAACAAAAATAAATATCTTATGACTAGTATTCCCGCATTGTCTCCATGAAACCGTTTTTATATTACTTTTCTACTGATATTAAACTCATTTTCTATCCTTTCCTCAATTTATTTATTAACATAAGGAAAAAGTCGTCAAAGATTGCAAAAGCGCACCAAAGTTGCCGCTTGACGCCGCAAGAAGTCCATCCAGAGAGACTCCCAGCGGCGTCGATTTTCACTGACGCCGGCATCGTCAGCTATGCCATCGCAAGCTATGGCTACCATTCGTCACGTTATGGGTGGAGCGTAACACACACCAGAAATTATATGAGAAAGTACTATACTATCTCAACAGAGTTTTCATTTTCTTAGCAAGAAAAAATAAGTTTTAGAAGTAACTAGCTTGCATACACAGCTACGCTCGGCTGTTTCCGAGTAGCCAATAGAACTCTGCTTTTAATCATTTTTTTTCCATGTAAGGAGCACATAGTTTCTAAGACTTCCAGCGTAAAAATTCTCTCTTAGCAAACCTAGGCTGAGAAAAAAATAACATCGTACTGTTCTGTATTTAGCACACCTTTGCATTTATTGTTAGCATCATGATCATAAAGCCACGAATTTAGTAGATAAGCAAAAAAATCTCTAAATTGATGAAATTAATTGACAAACTTCGAGTGGTGATCAAATTCGTAATCAACATATTACGTTGCCACAGCATCAACTCTCAGTTCCTGAAAACGAAAAGTTTGAAAAATCAATAAATCATGGAATCGATCGATGAATTTTCGAAAAAAAATCAAATTCGTGATTGGCATATCAAGTTACCCCAGTACACCGACCCACAGAGCCTTTGACCAGAAATTGCAGACAGTCGATAAATCAATAGATTTAATCGATAAATCTTTAAGTGGTTATTACATTTGTAATCAGCATATAAACTTACTCCAGTGTATCAACTCTCAGCAATCTAGAGGAAAAGTGCGAAAAGATCAATAATTCGATAATATCAATCGATGTTTTTTCGGATAAAGTATACGTTACCCGCAGTGTCCAATGTATATGTGTGTGAAGTTTGGTCCGGACCGGTACAAAAACAAAAGTAAAAATAAAAAAAAAACACGCATATGCACACACACACACTTACACACACACACACACACACACACACACACACATACACACACACACACACACATACACACACACACA